CCAAATATTGTCCTATCCTAACAAACCATACATCAATGGAAAGCTTATTTATCCAGCTTTCAGATCAATATTTTTTATTTATTTATTTTTTGCAAGTTCCCTGTTTGCATTTCCTGTGCGTTTTGATGCAGTTTGAGAAGATGTTTGTTGTGAGATGACTGTTAGAGAAATCTTTTTCTTCTCATCCACTCAAATTGCTTAGCTACGCAAAGGCCTATAATTTATTTTACTTTCCTTAAAAAGCAACTGAATTTGAACATTGAGCATTATGAGATTAATTGTGATTACATATTTTAATTGACCGACAGCCCCACATTCAGTACTCCAGCATTATAGTCCAACCCTGAGTGAAATGCACAAAGAGGAAACAAACCCACAGCTTGTCACGAGTCAACACACACACTCCCACATCCCCATACAAACTCTCAGCACACGCACACAGTCTGGCTGAAACAGCTGTGGCTTCTCCGAGGGTCAGTCTGTGTGTATTAATCACTGTTGCTTTATTAGCATAAATGATCCTGCTTAGTGATCGTTCCACTGGTGCAGGGAAAACAACAACGCCGAGAGAGAGAGAAACTGCGTCTGTCATTGAGCTCACTGTGCATGTGATCAGCCATTTGTCGTCACTTCAGAGTTGAGCTAATGATGAGGAATCTGGTGCACATGTAAATGCGAGGAGAGAAAACTCATCAAAAGAATTACAGTGTCTTTTAGCCTTTAGTTTTTTGTGAAATGAAAAATGAAACCTGTTTTTGCTAAGCCTATTTAAAGAAATAAATTAAAATCACTTCCTGCAAACTATAAATCAATATGGCTTTAAATAACTAATAGAAATATAAGAATTAAACTTATAACAGGATATCCCATGGCTTTCAAGCTAATTCAACTGGCTGACAGAAGCTCAGGTTTACCTGAATACTTGGGATGTCTTGCAGGAACTTCAAGCTGACAGACTGGAGGGCCTCCAGGGGCCATTCTCGGAACCAGTCCAGAGTGGTGCAGTTCAACAGAGCCGGGAAACGTCGGGCACGTAGACGCAAGCTATTACCTACTGGAGACATGCAGAGCACGACCTACACACACATACAGTACGCACACACTGTAGACACTGATCCAAACCAGATATGCAATGTATATCATAACTGCTGTGTATACTAAAAAAAACAATCAGTGATGTGAGACCTTGAGTTGTTGTCGCACTCGATTCATAAAAAAGCTCCAGCAGTTCTCGCTGTTGTCTAGCAGACCCAGTTCCCGCACCTCACTCCTCACAGCTTTTCTAACACCATCCACCTCCTCTTCACTCAACAGATCAGGGATCTCACCTGGGGTCAGACCACCGATAAACACGTTACTTTCACTTAAACAGGGGTCATGTGTATTTATGTATTTACACAGCTTTATACTGAGCAAGTACCATTTAGATACTAGCCAATGTTAGATACTAGTTAGGTAACATTTTAGTCTCTATACAGTAGTATTTATGCAAAAAAATTACACAAAAAGCATTACTGTTGTTAAAGTTCTAATGAAATGAACAGATCTACGAAATTTCTACTGTATTCTGACATATAATTGAGTGTAATGGATTATCAAGAAAGAAAACAAATGTAAAGCTGGGCCTTGGTTCTATGCAGTGATTGTTGATTGGATCTTGAGATTGTGAACTCAAAAATGAAAGCAGATAAATGTGGACTTAATGATTGAATGACGAAGTCTGTCATTTTCACATTTTGATTAAATATTATGAGGTAAAAAAATGTTACAAATGAAACAAATGCATGGATATGTTCACAAGAACATCTATAATGAGCATTTAGAAAATATAGAGGGTGAATTTTATTTTCATGCCAACTTTAAAATTAAAATTATTAAAAAAAACATTTTTGTTAATTTAAATAACTGAAAATATATATAAATATTAGACTAAAAATGTAAATAAAAACAAAACATAATTCAAAATATTAATAAAACTATTATAGTAACTAAAATAAAAACTGAAAATATAAAAATAAAACAAATCAAAATATTCGTAAAACTTTTATAGTATATAAACAACACTAAGAAATGACTGCAACTAACTGCAAAATATGGTTCAAGTCATTAATTCATAACATTAATTACAGTAAATTAAAATTCTTCAGAATTAAATATGTAATTATTTATAGCTGTATTTACATGTCCCTCATTCAAATAAAAACCATCTAAATAAAAAAGGAGTGTGTGTGTGTGTATATACACACACACACATACATATA